ATGCGGTCGTAAACAAGGTCGGATATTGGACGAGGTTCTAACCTCTCCCCGCCATCTGCGTTTTTTTTTGTTGTTACTGGTATGGTACTGTACTGTATGTTATGTTCTGTTAACAATTCATCGATGTATTGATTAATTGGTATGTTCTGTTAACGATTCATCGAAGTAATGATTAATTGCTATGTTCTGTTACCGATTCATCGATGTATTGCTTAATTGCTATGTTCTGTTAATGAGTTGTTTGTAACTTAACTTAATAAATGTAATTACTTATTTCTAATCTGTGTGTTTTGCAAACTACTCATAACATCGTTGCACAATTAATTGCTATAACAGTTATTCTAACTGTTACTTGACAATAATGTGCATTGCTTGCACATTGATCGCTTAGATATACTTGTTATCTCTGATTCGCGAATCTGATATAGGTGCGTAATGAGTCACGGCCAATACGCTTTATGCAGGGTATGACCAACAAGAATGGCCAATCAAGCAAGTAGAACAAGGTGTGGCTAACACCTTTTAACAAATCATGTTCAAGGAAATTTCCCAATGTTTTATTGGATAATAAAAAACCAATACATTTCGTGTTTTGTCTGTCAACTTGCAAAACGTGATCACTACCCAATAAAGTGGAGAGGTTGCGAAAAGGAGAAGGGAAAGCTGCCATTCGTAGATTAGATCCCATTCTCTTTACATAATAATTAAGAACATGTAAAAGAAAATTAAAACGTATAAAAATATTTATAACGTAAGTAGTATAATATGAAACGAATGACATATCATGTGATACCTGAATACTTATAAAATGTAAAAGGTTGACTCAAATATAATGTGAATTTAAAAATGTAAAACAAAAGTTTGATTACAATGAGATCTGTTTATAAAATGGCAATATATTTTATTAATATATATATATATAATGACGATTAAGAGATATGAAAACATTTTTTGCAAACTTGAACTCTCAATAAATATTTATTTATTATACAAACAACGGAATGTTCATTGCAATTTTAATTCATAAACTTTATACAAGTATAAGTTATAACAAAACGATTTAGAAAATGATAAAAACAATTTTATAACCGAAGCGGAAATAAATTATAAAAATGTATTAAAAATAAACAGTTCTGACAAAACTGATTCTTAAATATCAAGGACAACATTCTGTTCAATGAAATTAAACAGTAACCTTGACATCTGACCCACCTCCAACAAGGAAGGGAGTTTTTGTTTAGAGAGTAACGTGATACAGTCGACCCCCCTATAAGATAGAGATACGTTCCATTCTCTAGGAATCCGATTTCTTACAGATCCTTCCAATCACAACCCGACACGTATCAAGTTTATGGACTACGGCTGTTTGAAAGATTTTCTTCCATAAAATTAATCGATTCTATACTAATCCGACTCAACATTTCCAAAACACGTATATATTTTTTGGAAATAATCCGTATAAACTACGCTATAAATAAAAAATTGTAGAATTACTTACCGAGTGTCACCATCCGACATCGCCATTGCTCAACATTGTTTTCATCGCGGAACAGCTCACCAAACCGCAGCCGATTTCTAATAACTTATTTTTCTGCTAATAGTTCCTTGAACTTCGGAGACATCATTAATATAAATAATTTTAATCGCCATTGAATAAGAAATGTTTCTTTCACAAGAAATGTATAAAATTACAGTACTGTATTAGACTTACGGTACCTAATTTACATACTGACAGACGATAGTTAGCGTAAAAATCTCCGTAGCNTTTAAAAATGGGTCGATTTCATTGCGCTTCAATAGAGAATCGCAAGCAGAAATTCGGTCTATCAAATTTTTTTCTGTTAACTCGTGCGGCACCCATACATCGGCCTTGCTTACCATTCCAAGTTGATGTAATCGCCTTGACACTGTTGACTGATTGATTCCAAGAATTTCTCCAATCTCTCGAGTTGTTTTGTGTCGATCACTTTCAATTAGTGCCAATATTTTGTCGTCATCAGCCTCGGCTGGTCGTCCAGAACGTGGTGCATCGCTAAGGTTAAAATTGCTTTCACGAAACTTTCTAAACCACTTACGGCACGTGGAATCATCAATGGCTCCCTCACCATACACAGAACATATCTTTTTTTGTGTCTGCGAAGCATTCTTGCCTTTTCGGAAATAAAAAAGCATAATATGTCGAAAATGCTCCTTATTTTCTGCCATTTGTAATGCTTAACAAAATTTTAAAAACACAACTAAGTAAGACAACTTTATTCTCAAATACTAGCTGAGATCCCTTCTGTCAAACAACGTCGAAATTTTACACATGTGAAAGAAATAACACTTCAGTGTTGCGCTTTTAGCCAGTTGGTGTTAAAAACGGGACGAACTTTTGCATCAACCCAATAGTTTTATAGGAATCGTAATTATAAGGGGGTTGACTGTACTTCACGCGTTGTTGTCGTTAACGGTGGGCGTGGGTGGCAGCTCACTTGACACCCTGTTGTGAAAGTAATAAACTTTAACCGACCTTAACAGATGTATCTAGTTACTAAGAATAACAAGCGGGAAGCAGTTGTTTAAACGGTAATAAACACTTGGCAGTTCATTACGCGACTCTCCCGCTCTACTCACATTACCGCAAGAGCAATAAACAATTAACACTGGACTTTGAAATGCGGTCAATTCCTATCCGATTGCAAAGGAACCGACGACAATCGGTGAAAGTTGAGATAATCTATTAGCAAGTGAGATCTGATCTGTTTATTTTAAAGCCGTATTGTCTCTAATTACAGGAAAATAAAGTAAATAAAACATTATAAAGAAACAAAAGTATCAAAATAACAGATAAAATCATAATTTCTGATAATCTGCGGCCGCGATTTTACGATTTTAAAATAAAAACGGCAAACGCTAAGCAAACAGTACATGCCACTATCATTATAGACGAGTTACTATGTATGAATGTATGTTACCAATATTTATGATTATTTTGCTTTATTTCCTTATATTTGTATATTAAACCTACATATTTATAAATCACCCTTAGCCATTTGTATCATCCCCTCAACAGAGAAAATATTCTCTTTTTGTATATATCATTTTGTAAGAATTTTTAAGTTATCTATATATATAAAAATGAATGTATGTCTGTCTGTCTATGTGTGTGTCCTTCATGCATTACCACACCGTTTATCCGATTGCCATGAAACTTTGGGAAGTTGTTTAATATACTCCAGCAAAGGTTTGTGGCATAGTACGATTGCCATGAAGCTTTGGAAAGTTTTTTTAAGTTTTTAATACACTCCCACGAAGTACATTTATCCTACGATAGATGGCGTGCGTTTACACAAGCATTTGCGCACAGCGTGTTCGATCGATTTCAAATTGTGAAGACCATTTCCCCCTTCAAAAAATATCTCTATATATGCATTTGTGAACTGTTATTTACGATATTTATAATAATTTTTGTTTAATCACATTATTTCGACTTTTTTTGCTAATTATGTATTCGCTCGAACTTCGTTAAAATCTTAACTGTACCCCGAACAACGACCGAAGTTGTAGGAAGAAATTCGCCTATTTTACCGATCTAGGTATCCCCCTTTTTCAAATTTTAGTATCGACTCAAAATAATTTAAAAAGACAAATTACAATAAAACGGTTTATTATCCAACTATCAGAAATTTCACAACATGCCAAGGAAGAGAGGAAGGAGCAATTAAATAATTAAAATTATAAAGGATTTAAAAATATATATATATAAATGGGGAATATCGCGCTTCTGACAATCGCTGTGAGTGTGTGGGCTAAATTTGGAGAATCCGTGCTTCTCGCGTGGACAACTGTATGTGGCCGGCTCATGCGTCGGAAAACCTTCAGATTTATTCGTGTACACACCAGACGGAAAAACAAAAAATATCGTGTATCCACGAGCACTCCAATAAATAAATAGAATTGAAACAACACTTTGAAATGTTTTCCCGATGAAAACGAATAATAATAATAATAAGTTTCAATAAAAATGATAAAATGATAATTTAATTTTATCATAACGAGTTTGCTTGAATTTCGTTTCTTCTGAGATCGCAGCAATGCGCGATGGGTAAGCTAGTTTATAATAAATGATGATGATGATGATGATGATGATGATGATGATAATATTCTTTATAATTTTATTATGTAAATTACCATTGAAATTCTGTATGAATTCTGTATTCAGAATATGAAATTCTGTAATATGGAATTCAAATCTGTAAGGACAGATTTTGTGTTTCAAACTAGGTTAACCTGTCCTACATTGTTCCCGAAAATATTCGTGTTGACCTCATTGACCTGCGTGGGCGATCCCAAATATTTTCGTGTTTACATCGGAATGTTTTTGATACTAGATGTCGCTATGCATCACAATTTTTATATTAAAATGAACTTTTCAAATATAATTTTTTTGTTTCTATATTATTCAATATATTTATTTTGTTTGTGAAACATAAAAAATAATTTTTTACGATACAGTAAACACTATTATTATTTTTAAAAAAACAATTTTTTAGGCTTAACATCAATGAAAATTCAACACGGCATCACAGGCAACAAATAAAAATTTCAACATCAAATAGGTTAAAAATTTTCACACATGCAGTTGTAATCCTACTGAAAGAAATAATTGATAAATTTTTGTCATTTAAAATCATGACACCAAATGAAATCAAGTTATGTTTTTAGCTTTGCCATTCTGTACTTTTTATTTTTTATACTTTTATACATATACAGGGGGTGAAAAAGTAGGTATACAGTTGAGAATCTAAGAAATATAAATGTTCGGTGTTCATTATTATTATTTTTTATTAGTTTGTATTCCTTATTTGTGATTTAATTTGTATACATTTTTTCCTGTTTTCTCCCTGTATGTTTTTCTTTTCCATAATAACAACTGTATACTTACTTTTGCATCCCCCATATATAAAATCACATTTTTCCTATAAATACTTTGTACCATAAAACATAAAATTCCTTACATGATTAAGATGTTTCACAACATTTCTTGAGAGTCCATCTTCAGCTCTAATAAGTAATTCTATTACTTTATAAAAGCAAAATGGTTGAATTTCAAAAACTTGTAAAATCCATGGAAAGGTTCTGAAAAACATATAACAATTTTTCAATGATTCATTTAAAATAAAGATAAGCATATTAAAAAATATTTATTTTATACAATATACTTGAGATTATTATTATTAATTTTTTTTTCTTTTACAAAAAGTGACTGACTGAAGCATATTTGGTTGATTTCTGTAAACTTTGATAAAAGTGAACTAAAATTGGCAATCATCATATAAGCAGTGTTTAAGAAATTCAAAATAAAAATTCATTTCACATACATTTAATATTTAACCTGTAAAAACAGAAATAATTAATGATCTGTAAAAGTTTAAAAAGTTATTTTTAAACTTCTTTACAGTAAATACTATTTAATTAAGCTAAAGCTTTTTCTTTCATTATTCTTTCAATTGACTGTATTCTTACAATGATAATGGTAATTTTTTTGTTATTTTATTTGTTGAAAGGTTATCACCTAAAAATTAAAATAAACTGTAAAATTTGTTAATTATTAAATATTTCTGTTATTTATTCTTTTAATTAGTTTCTCTTTTTTTATCTTTATCACAAGTAATTTTCAAAGAAACACCAGTAAATTAAAGTTTTTTTATTTCTGATGATTAAAATTTATCATTTTAAAAAATTTTAAGCTGTATATTTTATTTAAAGTTAAATAAACTATTTGACTTACCGTTGTGAATTGTAAGAAAAAAGAACTATTTCAAGACAGCAAGCAAATAAAGTTTTATGAAATATATCACGTTCCAAGAGTTCCTATTAAGAAAAATATATATGTATATAAAATATGAAAGAATCCAAAATAATATTAAAATTTATATATAATCAAAAAGTTTCCATGTGCTATCATATTTAATAACTTCATCTTCAAAATGTTTATTGAATTTATGCTCATTTAACATAGTATCACTGATTTACAATGTCCACATAATAAAGCTATTTCTAAATCATTAAATCAGAACATATAATACAAAATACTATTTTATATCCCAATTTAACAGCATGAAAATAGCTTATATCTGATATGGACTATATTTTAAACATAAAACACGGAATTGTAATTTTAGCAGTATTCATATGGTTTGGTGAATGTAAGATTATATAAATGAATAAAATAATTTCAAGAAAGAAATTTAATTTTAAAAATTTCAACAATTTTTAGTAAAAAATATATTAGATTAAAACACATTTATTTTTTCATTTTATAAAAAAAATGTTTAATCATATAAACAAGGAAGTTATTTATTTATAAAATAAAACCTTTTTTCTCTTCTCCAATTATTTACATATTTATACTGATATTTAAAAAAAAATGAAAAATTGATTTCAATAAAATATTTTGCACATAAAATTCTCTCTTTCCATGATGTTAACCAGTTGTCATGTGCCTGCACTGACAAATATAAATTGCACAACCACAATCAAACCAGCACCAATTTTAAAAATTAATTAATGAAAATTTATTGCCGAAAAACTGGTATTTTTACTTTAATTCAGTTTCTCAATATGTTTCTAGTTTAATTCAGTCAAAAAAATCTTAATTTGATTGTAATTTAGTGAAGACTTAACATTCTTAATATTAGAAGGTAATTAGCATAAATTACAAGGTGTCATGTTTCATCTTCACTCCTGTTCAAGTTTATTGTCCTAGACATGTGCTGATGTGTTTTTTTACTTCTACTGGAGTCAAGGCTCTTATTTCAACCTCGGCCGCTTTGGTTACACAAGGCTGGCATTATGTGATTGCATACCTTACTTTTTACGACAGAAATTTCATTAGCTTAAAAATTTAATTTTTTTCTTTGATTTTAATTATTATTAACTAACATTTTTTGATGGATTCTGATAGCTTTGTATTGTCTGAAGTTGCAGATATTTTTTAAATTAAGTTTTATGCATTTATATGCTTTTCTTAGATTTTCATATATAAAATATAATAAAATTCAAAAATTAATTAAATATTATCTGAAATGTTAAACTATAAGTACAGTGTGTTTTACAATATTATTGCAAACAGATAAAGTCAATTATTTTATATACATGTTTATTATTTAAATTTTTATAAATTATTTTATTTGATGCAACATGACGCACTCAGAATCAATTAATTACTGTGGCGTGTTAATCAATATGGTGATGGGACTCGATTCAATTACTTTTTCATTTGAGACGTTCATCAATGTGTTATTTTAATGCAATTTTTATATTTTTACTGATATATATGCTTGACTACAATTATATTTTCGATTTCTACATTTTCTCTACTATCTAAAAGTATAAAATACTTGAGGGTTTAAAAAACAGATTTTTTAAAATATTTTCTGTAACTTGATCTGTAAATGCAAAAAACTAAACTTATCAAATATTAACTCACCATAAATAATTTCAATTTTATCTTATTGCATCAGATTTGTTAAATTTTACAGGATCATATTATTTTTCAAATTCAGCGTAGTAAAGCTTTGTTTATTTTCTCCCACAAAAGTAATAGACTCTACCAGTCCCCTACTGTGAAGTACAATAAATAAACTGCTAATTTTTTTATTACTTTGCTTTCAAAAACTTCCTTCTCTGTCAGTAATGGGTTGAATAACTAACAAATTGTTTTCTTTTACTCAGTAGAATGTTTTGTTTCCGATTTGACAACTAGTATTGCCAAGTAATGAATTCTATAATTTTATATTTAATAACTTAAAAAATATTTATAAAATTACCAAATAAATGTTTGGGTCACAATTACTAAATGTTATTACTATGTTATGAACATAAATTTTAATTGTTGCAAAATTGAAAGTACAGAGAGCATCGATTATCCGACCCCCGATTAACCATCACATCGGTTAACAGACCATTCTACTCAGCAAATTTCAAACGTCCACTAGTGATGTAGCACTACAATATTTATCTATGTCTTGGCTACTTTAATATTATTTTTGTTAAATTTTTGCGTGTTTTAGCTGGCAACACTGATTCGACCATTGAAGGGAGGCAAGTATTTAAATGAGACTTAATTTTCTAATTATGAGTGGTTGTTTATTTTGTGAGCAATAAAATAATTTAAAAATAATTTTTAACGATACAATAGCGACGATTATTATTTTTAAAAAATTTGTTAGGCTTAACATCAATTCAATGCAAAGTTGGTTAATAGCGATATACTAATATACTAATTACATGGGATATACTAATATACTATACTAATAATGCATTTTTTTCATTTTTTTCGGTTATCCAACCAACTTGAGTCCCCAATTGAGTCAGATAATTGATGCTCTACTGTATTAGATTTCCTATCATACAACTGATCACCAGACAGCAGGACAATAACATTGAAGTGAGAAAATCACATTGTCAAAAAAAGCTGCAATAATGTATTTGAAATGTATTGGGATTAGTCCTGTCATTGAAACCAGGAGAAAAAGATATAATGTATAGCATTGTGGTAAAGGTTAAATATTCTACATAGTTATTTATTAAATCACAACTGTTGCACATAACAACCACAAGAGTACAGCTCTCTCACACTGTGAGAGAATTTACTGCAGGTAGTGAAAAAATATTGGTTTTCATAAAATTTCTCTGGAAAAAAAGTCATAAACTTGAAAACTACTGTGGAAATTGCTTCAGAACATATCAGTTAAAAAATACTATTTTTAGTATTTCTCAACTGATAAAAGCCCGCACTTCAACTGTTTTATTTATAAGAAATTCAATATAAAAAAAAAACAAAACACCATGCATTTGCTGGATACATATGTGCCTAGATGCAGTTAATAAGCAAAGATTCTTTAATTTATATATTACAGTCGCTTGCATTTTCATATTCATAAAATTAAAAAAATACAAAAATTATATGGGGCATGGTGTCCTAAAACTTTATAAAATGATTTTAAAAAATACGTGGAAAAAATTAATTATTTCCAAGTCAAATTTGAGTTTTTAAGTTGTTTGCTTTAAAATAACACAATTATAAGCAAAGAAGCACACATGCCACCATTGTGGCTATTTTTAGTAACAGCAACTGGCAGGAAATTTGAAAATTGAAATCTGAAATCATGCACGCCATAGTGCAATTTGACACCAATTATTAAATAAAAATAATGGAACGCTTTAAGCAAAAACTGAATTGCGCACTGTAAAATTAAAGAAAAATTAGTCAGGTAGTAATTTTTTCTGATTTTTCAAACAACTCAAATCTTTACACTAACTAATTAAAAATGGATTAGTGTCTAATCGGCACTAGGCATGTGCCAACGAGTTAAAGTATCTACTCCGTACTCTATGCCTCACATTCAGTACAATATTTTTTATTCGTGGAAAAGTTAAAAATAAACTGTATACAATTACAGGCAATTATGATAATAAAATTTTTCTTGTCTAAAATTAAGTTTTATTACATTCATCACTTCAAAATACAAGTTTAAAAAGTGTATTTCAAATTTTTAATAAGTTAGATTCAAAGTTATACCATACATTTTAAAACTTTTTTTTTACGAATAAAAAGATTAGTGAAAATGTTCAGTTTATCAAAGATATAGTTAAAAAGTCATGTTTTAATCAGGAGAAATATATTTGTTTTATTCAAATTAACCTCTGGCTTTCACCAAATAGTTTACAAATTTTAATAATAAATTAATACTTACTGAAAGATCTGTCAATGGGGGGAGTCTCTTCCTTTCCATTATAATAATATTCTCTAAAACTTTAAAATATAAACTTTCTCCAAGCTGAAGCCTTTTCTTTGCAAAATCTATATGGGAACCAGGATGGTCTTCAGATGGCTATAAAATAAAACAAAATGAAAATTTTTGTTTACAAATTGAAAATATGGCATTATAGTTATGTAATTCCAATACTTCTACTTGTATGTCATAATAATGCATTAATATGATTGAATGTGACTTTAACCATATTTTGATTTAATTTTTGAACAAAATCTTTATAGTTACACTTTTATAGTTTAAAAATAACTATAAAGTACTATTATATTACACAATTAAAAAATAAAATAAAACATTTGAATAATTTGACAAAGAATAATATACTGATTATACATAAAAATAAAAAATGTATACATTTACTTTTCAAAGTTTTTATTCATTTTTAACTACAGTACAATATTGAAATTCTTAAACATACACATCCAAGTAAAGAACGCATGAAATATTATTCCCCAGTATAATGAGATATCCAGAGTTTGTGTGACCAATTTAATTGCATGTCAATTGGAGGCTTGTAGTGTTGCAAGTAGAGGTTCAATGCCTTGTATATAAAATATAATGTTCATTGAAAAGCAAAATAAACATTGCTTCACATATAATCTAGAGCATGTTATCATTGTCTTTTGTAATATGACATTTCTACTGAATAACTCTCATTTAGTAGTCTTCAATTTTTCATGGTATTCTTTTATTATTCTCAGTATTTTATTGAGCAACATTTAGAGTCTTACTTCATTATTTAATCAAATCAATAGCAAACACTACAAAAACCTTTTTATGAATATTTTAATGATAGTTGGTTAAAAGTAATTAAACTTAAAATTTTGAATAAAAAATTATTACTTTTCAGATTTCATTAAAAAAAACCAAAAATAAATATTTACTTCCTAAGAAAAAATTATCTTCTATTAAACTGCTATATGTTTTAAGTTAAATTTAATTTTTAAAGCATTTTTCTAATCTTTAACTGTAATAAATTTTTAAAGACTTTTTGCTAGTTTTTTAAAATCTTTTCAGGAAGACATAATAATTATAACTATTGCAACTTTTACATTAATATGGCTCAGTTACAGAATCCTATCATATAAAATACTACTAGGTAAAATACTACCAAAAGAAAAAAATATTTAGTCTGTTCACTTTAACATTTATACAGATATAAAAACAGATGTTTCAAGTATTGTTTATGGTGCATTAGTTTGCTCACAATATTTACAATGAAATTAATTTGTTCAAAAGAGTCATGTTTATAATGCACAGTAGTTGCATAGCAAATATAATCTAAATTTTTCCCATTTCTCCCAAGTACAAAGATAGCAAAGGAAATAATTTTAGGAAGATTTAGCATAAAGTGCAAATAATCTTTGACTGTAAAAGATAAAAGACAAATCCTGTATAAATTAATACAAAAATAATTACTTTTATTTTGCTTTAGTATGTGTAAAAAATGTCATCTTGGAGAAGTTGGAAATTGCTTGTGGAATCTACTTACTGCTTCTCATGCATATCATTTCATTTCTTTATAATGTATAACCAATTCACAGTAGTGTTCATTGTTGGCTCTTTTCTAAGTGTTATGTGTTTCCTACATGATTTGTGAAGATCACACCTTTAATTTCCATTTTGTTCTTGTTTGATAAATTTATGTATAAATCACCTCAGTAACCTTCCTTTATTTCAATAATATCATAAAAACCACAGACATTTTCAAACAGCTTGACTGTCCTGCTTCAAGACAGTTATATTTGTTCCATTTAGAAAGTTCGTCCTTTTGCCTAGGAGAAAGAACAAACATTCTAAATGGAACACATATAACTGATCTGAAGCAGGACAGTCAGGCTGTCAAAAAATGTTTGTGGATTTTAAGATATTACTGGAATAAAACAAAGGTTACTGAGGTGATTTATATCTACATTTTTCCAGTTTGGATTTGTTTCTCTTTAAGTAAAAAAATGTATGTATTGTAGTGAAACTTTTGTGTGATTTACACATTTCTTTTTGAATAAATTAAGTTATTTTAGTGTAAACAATGAAGAGGTAAAAAAGGCACTTGAGATGGAATATACTCATGCAATTCTTGAAAGATCTCTTTTATGTCTGAGTAAAAGTTTAACTGAACACAATGTATATTTTCTCTCTGGTAAGAAACTAGGATGGCAGGATCCTGTCTCTGTAGAATTTTGTCTGATAGGTTTCTCTGATGACCAATTAAAATTATTACAGGGTATAAGCTGTTCCTAGATTTTTCACTAAAATGCTACAAGAATTTAGATTTAGCAACATCTTTTTTGGCACATTTTGCTAAAAAACTAACATTTTCCAAATGGTCAAAACATTTTAAAAACATTAGTTAACCACTTGGATGTTTTTAACTAGTGATGGGATGATTAATCAAAATCAAAATTGGAAAAATCAAGCATTTTCTGGTAATCAAAATCAAAATGAAGCAAATCTCATCACAATTTCTGATTCTCCCACATTTAATTAATAAGAAAGTTAATTATCTGTTTCAGTCAAAGAGTAAAAATTTTTTTAAATTACAATGTTGACAATTAAGTATTAGTTTATTGGAAACTTTCATGTCTACAAAGCAGAGTGAACACAATGCTGTATACACGAAGTGATGTCTGTCATTGCAGACTTTTCGTTCGTGTAGTCAGAGATGAGAGATTGCACTTGGTTGAAATTAACCATCCCATTTTAGGGGGGATAGGGTGACATTAGGGTTGCCATCCAGACAGAATTCGGCCAGCTTGACCAGCAATCTGTATTCTGTATATAAAAAAGCAAAATGTTCCATCACTGCTTCACACAAATAACGTAAATTTAAAAATTAATTTAATTTACAATTTGAAAATTTCAAAAACTTTTAAATAGTTTTTAAAACATTGTTTTAATTTTCGATTGATCTGATTTTTAATCTTGGTAAAGGCTTAAATTTTAATTATTATTTATTTAATTTTGCCTTCATTTTTTAACTTTTAATTACAATTTTTTAAATTAATTGCAACTCTTTTTTTTTTCTTTTGCAACATAACTATATAAATTGTTTGAGTGTTATTTCGCACAAAAGATAATCAAATTTAAATTTATTTTATATTTTTTTAGTAATTCCATTAATTTTTGTTTTATAAATTTTCCTGTTTTTTTAATTTTAATTATAAGCTAGTTAACACTGATTGAACTATCAGGTTATCTAGTTTCAAATCACTACCAGTATTCAGAAAAAATATTTAAGTGTCAGCAAAACAGCTTAAAATATAAACAAAATTACCATATATAAAAATTATTTTTTATATTTATTATGCTTACTTATAATGATAAAACAACTTTCTAATTATAATTAACAATAGAGTTGTGCTGGACATCTAACTAACACCTTTCAAGTGAAAATTTTTGAACTAAAATAACATGATTTCCAGTTTGCATCAGAAGATCATATATAGTTAATCGTGGCCTCCTGCCTCTAAGGTTTCCATATCTGATCTTGTCTTTCCTCTATCTAAGTTCATTCTCAAAATTAAGGGAAGACAAACGACTGTGGGAATTTATAGATCAACAATTTTTTTCAAATTTCAGCCCAATTATTAAAGTTTTTGTTACAATTCACAGATGATACTTCAATACGCTAAATTTTCAAATGCAATTTGCACAATTCTAAGTAAAAATACATGTTTGCACTAAGTTTACTGCCATTTTGAGTCTTAAAAATTGATTTTTTAAGATGAGTTAGTCTAGACATTTGTGAAAATCTGACTATCGTATGAGAATTTTTATATTTCTTTCGTCATTATTTCCGTTATTTCTCCCATTCTCACCCCGTTACCCGAGGAATAGACCCCGGATAATGAACTGCATAATTCGTCCGTCAAGAAGGTCATCCCTAGGACGAAGTCGTCCGAGGCGACTGCGGAAGAACTCCCCTCTCCCCGGGATGTTTGTTTGTTTTTACTAATTGGTCACACCGCAGACACCTTGTAAAAGAATAGTCTCCTGCGGGTGTCCGGTTGATGGAGACGGACGGGTGTTCCTGTATAGAGAGTAGACAAGAGGTCACCTACAAGGGTCACCCGTACAGTGAGAACATTACCAAAAATGGTCAGTCATCTCCCCAGGTGATGACGAATTTAACATTAATTGGTCAAGCGATGTCTGCATTGTCGTCACCCATGACGGGGGAGACTGTCATAAATCGGGAGAAGTGACAGTTTGCGTCAGAAGAATCCCCGAGATTTCCCACGCTAAAAAAGTATAAAAGGGGAATGATCGGAGATCTCGAGGTGATCATCGGAGGAAGAAGACTACAGGCGTCTACTCTGGAAGGACTTCAAGGTTTCTGATCGCCGACCTAAAGAGGTAAATACTTAGATTGTTTTTACTTCACTCTCTCTCGGTATACTCGGGACTTAGAAATTTGTCGTTTACCGATATACTCGGAACTTTGAATTTATTTATCTGTTCCTTTGGATAGGACTTAGAATTATTTTGTGTCGAGGACCTTTGGTGTTCCCACTTACGGGATAGATGGACATCGGTTGTCCGATATTGTCGCGACTCGGAGGTTATTATAATTATCGTTTTCATATTGTTTAGAATTAATGTGTAATTTTAATGTATTTGTATTTTCTTTTAAGTTTATATTAAATATGTTATTCCTAATTTAATGACTCTTGTTAAGTACTACCGACATCTCATCATGACTTCGTTACGCCTCCCACTCCTTTTGCCCTCCTATAGTCACTCTCTGACAGCGCGCCGGTAAGTGGGAGAAACTCTTGTTCTATCCCCTCGGTTCGCACATATTGGTGTCATCCGACAACTGAGAGCGGGTCTGTTAGGCCCGTGCAGATTAAGCGGTCATTAGGGTTCAACCCAGTGGCCCCCTGCTACTCACACATTTGTAGCTCGAATGAATGAATTCAAAAATTCATTAACTCATGACAATAATAATATATTTGTTTGGCTTGTTGCATCATTTTCTGAATCTCATTTAGTGTCAAATATGACAAAATTAAAACATTTACAAGCATGCCAATTGCGAGAAGCATGAAAAAAGTGAATCTTCTCATTTATCTCCTCCTCAGTCATCGCATTGGCCAACATAGCACTTTCCAAAGATGGTGACCTTGGATCACACGTTGAGATACTTCCTTGAAATAAAGGGAATTAGCTGTATTTTCTTTAAAAGTAGTGTTACAATATTAACTTCATCTGAAATAAGATTACAAATTTATTTTGTAGTACACAATAAAAACTTGCATATCCACATGTAAAAGGAGAATTTTCAGATTTCTTTCAAAAGATTGATTCTATATTTCCCAATCATTTTCCATTCATGTTTATTAATTAATGAATGTACTATGCTCATAATGTAAATTATTAATTTTTCTAAACTCAAATAAACTTTAGAAAGTATTCAAAAGAATTGGAATCAAGAGAAATTTTGCTACTATCCCATCACTAATTTTAACCACAATCTTAAAAGGTAACATTTTTAAGATGTTTTAACCACTTAATTTTCCATCTGCCTTTGGCAGAAGGAAAATTCCATTATATTTGTTTGGCCTACTTGTCGTTATACTATGTTGTTTAGGTGAAGTACCCAATGGTATCACAGTAACTGGTGAATTTATGTTTCATGGCCACATGATAAAAACACAATCTAAAAATACAGCATTCTTTGGAAAATGTTAAGCAGTTTTTTCTATTTTGACTGCCAATTTAAAAGACAGGTTTTCTGAATTGGGACAATCAAAACTGTTTAGCATACTGCTGCCAAAAAATATTTTTAGTTCAGACTCAAGTATATTTACTGAATATGGTCACAATGAAATGGCAGATATTCACAACTTCTTGCAACCACAATTCAGTGGAATAGATAAAAAATAATTTGACAGAGTGGTATTCTTTTTAAAGATTTGTTGTTGTCAGGTGTAATATGTCAATGGCTAAAGTTTATAAAATGTTAGTTGTAAATGGTCTTCTCTCAGATTACCCTAATGTAACAGTTATTGAATTTGTTCTTTCACTCCTCCCAGTGTACACTGTTGAGTGTGAGATTTCAGTGAGATGAAATTAACAAAAACTCCAATTCAGAACCATTCATAATGTAAAAAATGCCAGCAACTTGTTAGACATCTCCATAAATGGCCCTCCAACACAGAAATTTAACTTTTATTCAGCATTTGTTGCCTGGTGTGAATCAAAAACAAGAAGAATTGTTGAATATTGGTATGATACTGTGGGTTGTAACAATAAAATCATTGTTACATTAATAGTGCAGTATACTATAATAGTATACAGTATCTATGTGAATAAACAAATGTTTAAACAATAATATATTTTGTATTTTTCTGAGTAGCCTCACCAGTGAGAAATGTCAGCTACAGTTTCTAAAATTTTGCTACAACATTTTTTGTAAAATTAGCTAAAATGTTGCAGAAAATATTTTCCAGTTTTAAGCTTGCTGATATAAATATTAAACAATTAAAAATTTAAATAATAAATAGCAATAATTATATAAATGTAATTTAATTTGAAAGAATATAATAATTAGTATATATCACCATAATAATTATTTAGAAATTAATTAAATATATTTATTTATTGTCAATAAATTTACAATTTATAGTTTAAAATTTGAAACAAATATATTTGAGAAATTTGTTATTCAAAATAATAAATACAATTTTCATTCTCTTTCATTAAATGAGACCATTTGCTTGAATTTTTCTTAAGTTTGGGATCAGAATTTTGTTTAATATGTTGTCCTGAAGATGAAATCAATTTATCAAAATCTTTATTCTATTCTCAGATAATGAAGAATCAAATATTTTATCCATCATTATAGTCAATTATATTATATTTAATGTTACTAAAGGTAGGAAGTCATGATAAATGAACTCTTAATGATTTTTTTATCTTTAAACATATTTTAAATTAAATACGTTCATAAAAATGAATAAATAATGTAATTCAATAAATGTATTTATTATTAAAAACTATTTGTAATAAAAAGAACCAAGATTACATATGTAAAAGAATGATTAACAGCCGTATTAAACACATTTTAAGAATAATTGTATGTAGTTCCATGCAATTAAAATTGGAGTGGAATGTATTTTCTAGAAAGTTATAAAAGAAAAAATAAATAATATAATTGAAAAATAATACCTGAGCATAACATTCACAGAATATTTCACCCATTTCTTTCACTCTAGCCATTATAGCTTCTTCAGGATTACGACTACATTCTCTAAAATAAACACAAATTTTCTTGCATAAATAAATAAATTCCATTATCTAGTATTCATTGGAATACAAATTAGAAGTAACTCTACATTGATACATGCTATTAAAATGACATTTTATTAAATATTAAATTTTTGATTTTTCTAAACAAGCTTAAAACTCTTACTGTTTATTAAAATTTGCCATAGAATTAGATAAAAATGAAGGGCTAATAAATCAATAGCCCAACAATCAATAATCAAATCTATAGTTATAACAGACAGAAGTAAGTTTTAAAACAATTGACTCAAAATTAGGATATATTTAAATAAAATTAACAAAGTAAAACCTGGGGAGTAGCTTTCCAATTTTTAAAATACTCATGAAATTCAATTTGATGTTAAATAAACTACCGCTTTTAAAGAAGTTCCTGTATTAAAAGAGATTAAGTAAATTGTAAAATTGGGACTGAAATTTTAACTCTTCTGGATAATAGATTTTAGTAAATAGGGAATCACTATCATTTTTAAAACATTTGAAATTATTTTTGGTAGACGATAATTCTGTAAATATTTTTCTGCATTAATATTGTGGTCAAGAAATTATATGTCTGACTTCAAAAATAATCCACAATTCATAAATATTAAACTGATACCTGAATTGTTTGTTTCCTTAGTTATATCTTAGATCAGTATAATATGTTCTTATTGTAAATCCTAAAATTTAATCAATTTTGCTTTATATTTGTAGCATCTGGAATAATGCATGCAATTCTTCAATTAACTGAAAGATTGCTAAGCAAAATCTACCTATATATTTTACTAGCAGACCCTGCCATGCCTTGTTGTGGCTTAAAATGTATCTATTATAAATGTATAACACTTTCCCCATGGGGGGGAATTTTTCGAAAAATCCCTTCTTAGTGTACATTCTCTTGACGTACCCTATTAAAATGCAAACAAAAACGCAAAAAACTGCATTAAAAAAAATAATAGAAGCCTTCACGGTATAATAGAAGTTCTTCACGGTAAGCCTTAATCCTGTCCCTCTCCTCCATGGGGAAATATCAAAAAATTCCTTTTTAGTTTATATTCTGTTGACATATCCTATTAAAACGCAATCAAAAATGCAAAAAACTGCATCTAAAATAGTATAAATAGAAGCAGAGTTCTTTACAGTAGCCTTAATCCTAACCATCTCCCCCAATGGGGGGAATTTCGACATGTATATTATATAAAAACAATGTGTGTATTCAAATGCAGCATTGTGTCAAAATTTCAAAGGAATTGGTAAAAACAAACGGACATTACATTTTTATTTATATAGATAGATAGAAGATGATCTGCTTTAGTTCATCCTCACAGAAAAGCAAACTTAGGTCATCGTACTCCTAGCGCCATCTGTTGGACATAAAAACCTTAACCTAGATGATATCTTTTAATTTATATGAATGTTTACCGGAATAATATACAGCATATGTCCACTCTGAAGTTCCATTCTAAATATTGGTGAAAGAATTTTTGAAATCGGACGAGTAGTTTTGGAGATTACCCGCTGCATCCAAACTTACAAACATTACTTCTTTATAATATTAGAACAGAACAGATTAGGTCAGGATTTCAATTACTTAATACCATATTAAAAAGGACAATTTTCAAATACTGGCAAATAAAAATTAAAAACATTTGTATCCATGGATTAGATAACATTAAATATCAAATTATCAAGTTGAAATTTCTAATTTGCATAAAATATAATAACAGTTCTCAAAATATATAAGTTTTTTATTTTTATAAATTAGAGACTTACTTAAATATATCCAGTAGTTTTTCACTAGGACTAGTTTTGTATCCTGCTAATAAGGTTTGCAAACGACTAACACTTTGTGTTGCAGTAGAAACTGGTGTAACATTAACTGCTTCTTTATCTTTTAAATATCTTCTACCCGTTAAAGGTGTTGCTGGTGCTAAAGTTGTTGTCTAAGAAATACATAAAATAAATTTTGAATGGAAATGGTTTTACTTACAAAAGACAGTAATTTTTATCATGCTATTAGTATACTTTCATATTTATCAATTCCAAAATAATCACAAATCTATTCATAAAAAATATTACTATTACATTAACCCATGACTACACAGTTTCTTTTTTACAGTTTTTTCATTTGTATAAGCTGGAGATTTTCTGCTGATTTTTTATGCATAACTTTACTGCATGTAATTGTCATTCCTTAAATTTGATGATTTTGAAAAATCTTATAATGTGTCTTCTCTGCATGAGCCAAATTTCAATGTTTATTTTTCAAGTTTTTGTTTTCTTTATAGAATAATGTCCTTTCAAAAGCTCCCTACAACAGCCTTTGAAAGAACATACAAACTTTGCAATAGTGTGGGCTTATGTGAAAAAGCCCACAAAAGCTGGAAATAATGACAGGAGAACTGAAATGTTTCTCAGGACCAGAAAATGGTTTTATGTATTTTTTTAGGCACAAAACAAATCCACAAAAACATTTAAATTCTTGATAGTCATAGCACTCCAAGACTATCTTACAGAAACATCCATGACATCATGACTACTATTTATGACAATTGTGTAAGGCCTCCATAATGTCAGATCACCAAAAATGACATTAGAGCAGAAAATTACCATGTATGCATAAGCTCATGTAAAAAAGTTGTACATGATTGAATGCAAGATTTCTGTAGCAGTTTTTTGAAGGCTAGTAATAAGCAGAAAATATTTACACAGTTAATTGTATAGCATGTAGAATAAAAACATAGCTGAATAAATCAATTAGGTAAAAAATGCAAAAATATAGGGGGAAAAACTAGTAGCAGGGCTGCATAGTACAAAAATTGCCACTTGGCAATATTTTCATTAAAATGGCAATAAAAATATAAGCTAATATTGTGGCAATAAAAAGCCTAATCTTATTTCAACATTTGGTATGAAAATGAATCACAAAGTAGATGTCAGGAAAAATGACAGAATGTCTAGCTCCTGTGCATTAGGAGACCCATGCACCACAAACCTAGTGATTTCTTGATGTTGCATGGCAAGTTTGAACAGGAAAGTAATAAGTGACATTGAAAATTGAAGGCAGTTTTCAAGCGTTTCCAGATTGGGAATTTTTTTATCAGCTGAGACAAAATTTGGGGAATTTTTTGGGGGTGACATTTTTTTCACTTTGATCTTTTTTCAGTAGACTAAAGCATAAAAATTTTGACATGACAGAACACGTGAAACACTGCTTAAAAATTGTGATAAAATGTGTTATTTGGAATTATTCATTAAAAAATTATTCCTATTTCTAAGTGACAGCTTAACATGTTAATTTTGTTTTCCTGAATGTACTGATAAGGCTACCAGTTCCAGCATTAATTACTAAGAAAAACTGGTGGTAATAAATAATTTGAAGCAGTGAAAAAAATTTAAAACTGGCAAAATGATTTGGCAATTTTTTAAAATTTTCCAGAGTGATCCCTGTAGTAGGCATGGAAAAAATCACTGCTATTGTATGTGACTGTAGGTTAATCTCATGACCTGTTTTAGTTTTCACTAAATTAAATTTAAAGAAAAATGAGCAATTATTTATTGTGACATTGTCACAATGTCCGGCTGCAATTTTTAATCATATTTTTAATTTATTGATAAGACTATATCTCTTCTCTAAAATCGCACTGCTGTCAATGGCTGCACATCTAAAGGTATGAAAGAGTACAAGTAAGGAGTAGCAATTTGGCACAGAGTATTTGGTGCCCAAATCATGTGCACATAAAATAAACCAGACTTGTAGGTAGTCAGGGGACTGAGAACCAGAACAAAAGAAAATGCAAAAATGCTGAGACTGTTTCTACACAGGCACGAGTGTGAGATTTCAACATGCATTGCTCGCACTCTCTGAGACATAGTCTTGTCTCAAAAATGGCTTAGCTGTTTTACTTGTTTCATTTAGAATATATGCTCTCCACCTCAAATTACTGGTGGCTTGCCCATATACTCCATACTTTTCCTTTAACAGTAGAGTCTTCCCGGTCATCAATTAACTGTTTTCAGGGGAAGTTTTGAAATGAAATAATGTGATTTCTGGTTTAAATTGAACATTCTTATATAGTTAACTGAGGCATCCTGCCCTTAAGGTTTCCATATCTGGTCTCATCTTTCATCTATCAACTCCATTCTTGAGATTAAGGAAAGACAGATGCATGGACAAACAAACGACTGGAAATTTATAGGTCTACAACTTTTTCAAATTGCAACCCAAAAAATATTTGAAAAATTAATACATTACTTAATTTTAAAGTTAGATTTTAGTTGACTGATGAAAATTTTTACCTCTTCCAAATGTTTCTGCAGATTTCTTTTTGTCTGCCTCCATTCCATCAATTCTTTGCCTGCAATTAATTTTACACTTGGTGTTCCTATTTCTTCACTTGCATTTTCTACTAAAAATACTCTTTCATCAAAATCTCCAACATTAAGGACATATTCTTCATATTCTGCATTAATTGCTTTGCTGTAAAAATTGAATTGCATAATTTCAATAACTAACTATAGTTCAAATTTAAGTGTCAGATAGAAAATTCAGTTGAAAAAATTTTATATTAGTTCTGAAGATTATTAAAAATAATATTAAATATTGATAAATTAAATTCATACCATATTATTACTCAAGTTTTTACTTTATTATATAAAATATAATATAAAAATGTATTTAAAATAAATGTAAACAGTAATAACTTAGTAGTGTTTTTTTTAGACTGCTCTTAATATATCCTCCTTATATCACTGATTTGGATATATCACACATTTTTAATTTGCAATTACTGTATTTATAATCTTTATTGAAAAATATAAATTACACAAATTTTTAATGTGTTTATTATGAAATGTAGTAACGTATAATGAAATCATAACTGATATTTTGTTTTCATATCTACAGTATTTGTCTTTAAATGTCACTATTAAAGAAACAATAATGCTAAATGGGTGTCCACAATATCAATGTTTACACAAATGTCATTTAATACAATATAACCATGAATAAAACTCAGTAAAGGTAGCTGTAGGTTTATGCCAGTTCAATTTATGAGAATTCACAATAACGCCACTGCGCAACTTGCTGTTTCACACTGTAATTCCCTGATTTTCCCTATGCTAGACTGATTTTCATTTCAGTGTTGACGTATTTACTGAGCTGCGGCATTGCATATTCGTTACAACAAAGATTTTTATTGAATATATTTAATTTTTCTGTTTAATATTATTGAGTATGTATACATTTGCATTAAATTAATATTAAAATACTAAATGTTTAGGTACCCACGAGTCNGATTTCCAGTTTGCATCAGAAGATCATATATAGTTAATCGTGGCCTCCTGCCTCTAAGGTTTCCATATCTGATCTTGTCTTTCCTCTATCTAAGTTCATTCTCAAAATTAAGGGAAGACAAACGACTGTGGGAATTTATAGATCAACAATTTTTTTCAAATTTCAGCCCAATTATTAAAGTTTTTGTTACAATTCACAGATGATACTTCAATACGCTAAATTTTCAAATGCAATTTGCACAATTCTAAGTAAAAATACATGTTTGCACTAAGTTTACTGCCATTTTGAGTCTTAAAAATTGATTTTTTAAGATGAGTTAGTCTAGACATTTGTGAAAATCTGACTATCGTATGAGAATTTTTATATTTCTTTCGTCATTATTTCCGTTATTTCTCCCATTCTCACCCCGTTACCCGAGGAATAGACCCCGGATAATGAACTGCATAATTCGTCCGTCAAGAAGGTCATCCCTAGGACGAAGTCGTCCGAGGCGACTGCGGAAGAACTCCCCTCTCCCCGGGATGTTTGTTTGTTTTTACTAATTGGTCACACCGCAGACACCTTGTAAAAGAATAGTCTCCTGCGGGTGTCCGGTTGATGGAGACGGACGGGTGTTCCTGTATAGAGAGTAGACAAGAGGTCACCTACAAGGGTCACCCGTACAGTGAGAACATTACCAAAAATGGTCAGTCATCTCCCCAGGTGATGACGAATTTAACATTAATTGGTCAAGCGATGTCTGCATTGTCGTCACCCATGACGGGGGAGACTGTCATAAATCGGGAGAAGTGACAGTTTGCGTCAGAAGAATCCCCGAGATTTCCCACGCTAAAAAAGTATAAAAGGGGAATGATCGGAGATCTCGAGGCGATCATCGGANTGCCTGTCATCTATGTGGCAAATTCAGACTTATGTCGACTGCATCTCATATGGCAATCTATTTTTTGGATGACTGCGAATGGCAGGAAAATCGCCCCTTTTATTGTAATTTCTGACCAATAGCGTAAAAGGATTTACGGTTGCTAACAGGATGTGCAGGGTCGTGCAGAGGGTAGATAATCAGATGGTTTGATTGTGATAAGGAATGAACTCTTGGAAAGGGAAATTGATTTCTCTTCTTTCTGTAAAAAGTGACACTGTGTCTCTTCCTTTTTTGTAAACAATTTGGAAAAACTAGATATAGAAATATATCTAGTTTTTCCAAGTTGTTTACAAAAAAGGAATAATAATTATTAGTCTGTAGGTAATCATTAACAAAGACATAATTGCCCAACTAAAATATCATTTACATATGGCTATATAATTACTTTTTCTTCGGTTATCATTAAAATTTATTCTACTGTTTTTTACATCATATCTAATCACTTTTTTAGTGGATTTCAAGTGAAAAAAAACTAGTAATTAGTCTTATATATATGTATATGCAGGAGCTATGATAACTTATTGACAGTAATTAGAAAGTATTTGACTTTAAACCAACATAAATTTTATGTAATTTTATTTAATTTTTATTAAACTGAATATTTGATCAAATCATTTTATTATTTCAGTCAGAAACATGTAAAATTCTTATTCCTGAACTAGAGTTAGAAGTTGGATCTCATACATTAGGTAGCAAGTTTACAACCCTAGAAGGTTTATTAACAAATATTAAAGAGCAGGTGAGAATGTTAAGGTAAAAACAAAAAAATAATAATTTTATTCAATTTATATTAAATAATTGTCAACATTGTAGTTGAAAATGGACAATCCATTTACATTTGGCGATGCTGCTAGAAAACAACATAAAGAAAAGATGGAAACATTTCTAAATAATTTAGATGAGGTAAGATAAATGAATACATTATTGTTATTACAGTGTTATTGTCATCATCATACATTATATGAAAAATATATAAGATTAAAAATTGAATTTAGAGAAATAATTCAATTTTCTTGATGTTCAAGATAGGTTTCCATAATATGTAATTAATTATAAATTCTCTTAAAATTCTACTTCTTATTCAAATTGTCTACAGTTGAAAAGCACTTTCTATTCCAAGGTTTACAGAAACATTTTTTGAAATGAAATAAATATTGTTAAATATTGAGTATGGAGTTGCAGTTAAGTTCATAAGTCAAGCTTTTCAGCTGAAGAGTAGTTAGGAAAACTGGTTCACACACCATCTCTTTTTGAAAGAGAACCAGAAGATGATAGTCAAGATCAAGATCTTGATTCCTACAACAACATCAAAGCAGATCTGAATGACTATGTAATAATCATATCAAAAGACACTAAATTGGATTAACTACAAAACTGTAATAATTTCAAATGTAATTATAACCGATAAACACAGTCAATAAATGATTTTGATAGTTTGGAAAATGTGTGAATAATTAAGATATTTCTTTCAATTTTTTTTTTTTGTGTTAAGGTTGAGGAAATTTTGTAAATAGAAAGTATAGTTAACTCATAAACTGTCAGAATATGTTGTATTTATTAATTTTAAGTCTGTTTATTAGTTTTTTAAATTTTTGTTTGTTATTATCAATGTCACAGATTATCAATAATCAACGTGTAGCCTATTTGTGGCAGGACTCTGAAAATTCTTTACTTTTCAGAACCTGTAATATCTAGAATAATTACGCAATGCTGTCTTAATTTTTAACCATATTCAGTAGCTTTAATAAGTGCATTATGCCAGTTTGTGCAAATTGGGCAAGGATACAAATAAGTATGAAGTTTTTCTTCATAAACCTGATTATTAAAGCCAAACAAAATGCTGAATTATTGGGCTATAAGCTTCATGCCTCTATTAAAGCAGCTGAGGTAGACAAATCAAGAATACTAGACAGGAAAAGAAGTACTGCAGTGCATCTTGAAAACAAACTAGAAATCTTTGAGGCTACAGGTGGAAAAAACACAACATTTGTCTTCTCTTAAATGCATTAAAGACGATGCCACCCGCACCAATTGAATCGGAAAGGGCATTCTCGTTAGCAGGATTTTTTATTATTAAAATAAGAACCAGATTGAGTGATCAGAGTATTTGACCATCTTTGCTTTTTAAAATCCTGTTATAAAAATTTACAATAATATTTTGTATTATGTTTTATTTAAAAACCAAAAATTACCTTCTAAGTTAGAAGTTTGATGTAAGTTCGTTTTTTTTCTTTAAATTTTCAATTCAATTGAAAGGTTTTTTTAAACCATTTTCAACAAACTTTAATAATTTTTTTTTAATTCAAAAGTAATTTTTAATACATATTTTACACAAATTTATTTTATGTCTTAAAAATAATTAATTATATCTCAGGAAACAGATCATTTTTTTTCTAGAAATCCCAGAACAAGCAAAGGACTGGGAAATGAGAAACCCTAATAGTAATAACTTCTGCCCTTGAAAAAACTCTGGTCTTAATAAACTCTGGTAATATCTGTTTTAAAAGTAAACCTCCCTAGGTTTTAATCAAGGAAATATACTGCAGTACATTGATCTGTTTAACATTATTCTTTATGATCAATAATACTACTATGTTATTAGGGCCTTGATTCATTTCTGGTTTCATACGTGTAAATTTAAAATATTAATTATTTTTCACTAAACATTTTTATTTCATTAAAACTTTAGTCAATATGAAATGAAAATTTTCCTTAACATTTTAAACAAATGTTTGAGGCTTTTTTTAAATAGTTAATGGAACTAACTGCTTTGAAACAAACTAAGTGCACTTTTTACAGTAAATATTCTAAAAGATAAATGATATATGGAATAGACTTTTTTGAAGATTTGATCCGAATATCCTATTTGAAGAGAAAAAGTGTTCTTTAATAATTGATTAAAATTTATTATTTTTGTTTAGTTTTAGAAGTTATATTTTTCAATAAGTATTTTAAAATATTGTTCAAATAAATTCAAGTAAACATTGAACACATCTACTTTTTCTTCTATTGCTTTTCAAGCTTAAATGGACATAATTTAGGATAATGTAAATGCATAAAAATTATTATTATTATTTTCTGCTACAGATGTAATGATTATTCTTTACACTTTAAAAAATAAGTGGGGAGAAATGCAAATATTTTACTGACCATAATTTTTAATGTTTAAAATTTTTATTTAAAAACTATATTTATTATAAGAAATATTAAGTTTTTTTTCAGTTCTATTTCATTAATCTACTTTAAATAACAGGTATGTAAA